GATTGTACTTAAGACAGTCCTAAATATAAAATTCAACCATAAGAATATCACCCAATGTATACTTTTGTGCGTCTAAGGGAATATCATTCCAGAGCTTTTCAAATACCTGCTCTCTATTTTTCCCCCCTTTTCTTTTCTCTCTATTTCTGTTCGAGGTCGATTTAGCTCGATCAACATCGTATTCGTGCTTGTATAATAAAAAAACGTGCATTTATGAAAATATAGTCGCGAAAACGATGCGTGTCGCATGCATCACACGTGCACTGCAAGCGGAAATGTTACTCACTTACCTCATTTCTCGAGCCATTGCTCTACCTAGGACACTGACAAGAAATCACTGGCGGGTAACAACGCGCCGGTGAACCGCACCGGACAAAAACCGGGACTCGTTGTAAGTCATGGCGAGAAAATAACTCGCACCGTGATAACTCTCGCGCTACGCGAGCGAGTGGACCGGACACGCGGTTCCGACAATCGACGGAAAAAGTCGTTTGTGCAACTATCGCCGCGGAGAAAAATGAATATAGGATGAAACCGGTTGATTGAATTACGCGTTGACGATAGCCGGATATCGTACGTGGACATTCATTGGAAAAAAAACCTGATAATTTCTAAAAAAAAAAAAAGAAAAAGGATTTCATCATTCAATCGAGCAAATTCTGCGATTGTCATTTCCTGTTATTTCTCGAGATATATTACAAAGTATAATTCGAATTCTTAATATATACGTATATGAATATTTCAAGATTTCAACACATAGTCTAGGATAATAATTCATTTCCACGAAATATTCATGTGCTTTTGCGTAAGCAAATATAAAATTTCGACAAATATAAAGATCGCATATTCCCGATATGAAAGTTAAATGTACTCACGTTCGCCGCGTTAAATGATCGATGGCAGTAGAACTCGGTAATTCGTGGAGAACACCTGAATCTGGTAGATCCTTGACAACTGTTTCACTGTTCTCTGAAAATTGTAAAAATTCATTATTAAACGCGGTTTTTCTTAAAATCAATATAACATAAATCCTTGAAATTCTTTTCATTAATTCATAGTTTTATTTAAATGCGTTTTATAATTTTTTATTTACTTCAGAACCAGATGACTCGAAAACATTTATTAATTGCAAAATATATAAATTATAATAATTACACGTCATTACGTATACACTGAAAAAAGATATAGTTAATTAATTCTAGCTGAAAATGGACAAATCAGAATTTTCTGATTGAACTTATTCTAACTCTAATTGAATTAACAAGATTCTGATTGATTAGAATGTTCAGAATACTCATCACCTTATAAATTTGCTAAATGGATGGATACTATTTATACATATGATTATATTTAGCATAAATTATTCCTCAATTTAAAAAATACGATTACCTTTATATAAAGGATATGTGTGTGTGTATGTGTGTAAAGTGAATATTATTTTAATTTATGTTTCTTCAAATCATCAAAGAGAAACAATGAAAATAAAGACATAATGTTCTATTTAACGCTATTACTGGAGTGTCAGAAATATTCCACACAAGAAATAACGTTAGAAAACCATACGTATAAAGGTTAAATATAGTCGTTATTATTTACTTTTTACCTTGAACAAAACTCTTCTCCGTTTCATCTTCGGTAAGACGACATTCGCGCTCAAATCTGTCCGTTAATTGCTCAGATACCCTCCAGTCGTGTATCTCTTTCCGTAAAATGTAAATCGAATCATTGTTGCCCGCGCTGGCGACGCTGGTCTCGTCGGACAAGAGAGCCTTGTGTTTCACATCGTCGCACAACATTTTATTTTCTTTTCGCGAAAGAAGCTGCCGCCCGCGGGAATCTCGCGACTTCGTCGCGCAACTTTTTACAATGTCCTTGTCCTTCGAAGCTCGCATCTTTTGTGGCAACGTTCCTGCGGATACGGACTTTTTTCTATCGAGTGTAGACTTCGTGCGACGCTGGGAAGAAATGTTTCTCGAGGACATGTTGACGGCACCTCTTTCACGATCGCGATATTTAGCTCCCTGAAAGATATTAAAAAATATCAAACCAATTACAACGCGAAATACATAGATCAGTGCACCAAATAATTATTATAATAATGTATGACAAATAAACGATAAAAATAATTAACAGTATTATAAAAAATGATATATTTAATTTAATGTTATTTATCGGGTAAATCTTGAAACAAAATTTCAAATGTAAACTGAATATATTAATTAAAAGACCCATTTTTTTAATTCCTGTATTAGACTTGCTAACATCAAGCATATATATCTTATTTAAGTTAAGTTCCAAAAATGTACATTCAACTATAGGAAACAAATAACAATTTGCAAATATAGAGCCCATTCTTTTTCAAAAAAAAGTTCTAAATTAATGTACACTGATGCAGCGTAAGTTGGAGTGAAACAAATATAATAATCTGTTTTATTTTAATTTATTGGACTAGTATACACACCAGTTTAGAATTTTTTTCAAAAAAGAGTAAGACTATAAATGAGAGCATTCGATTACAACAAATTGAAAGCAGGAAAAAAAGGATTGTTCAGATTACATTTTTTCATAAAATCCCCTTCTTTGCCGCAATGTCAGAATTAAATCGTAACAAAATAACTTTCTTTGCATCCTTTTTCTACAGAGCGCTTACATTACCATACGCTTTTAAATGTCTCAGTACGTAACATTTGCCGTATGTATCTCTTTAACGAAAGACACATCGGAAAAAAGAAGAAAATCGGATGCAAATCGGCGTGAATCGCCATAACTTACAATCATGTCAGCGATGAAGTGGCGATGTGTTAGCGACGAAGGTTATAAATCTGCGGCGAGACGTAGCGGCACGAATTAGCACGCTAAACAATCGCGCGATACATCATTCCCCTCCCTTCGACATTCGAGAACAAAACAAGCAGTACTTATCGTTATAATCGTCACGTGTGGGATTTCGCGAAAAGCGCGACGCGGATGCAACTGCAGGCGATTTGACGTGCGCGCGTTTCTAAAGTTTGTCGAGTACGATTAAGTGCAGTGCGTTTTGAAAGTTCGTTGAGAGACCCTTGGCTGTGTCAGCTGTCTCCGGCTCTCGCTATCCGTAACGACGACAACTGGACTTTATGTAAGTCTACGACGAAGACAAAACATTACGGGGATGCTCGTGCGGAACGGACGCTACGGAAACTCAACTGAACTGAGCGGCAAAACCCCGCTCCACCCCACCCCCCCCCCC